TTACCTTTACGTCATCTTCAAATGACTCTCCAAGGTCAAATCATTGCCACTATCTGATGGCCCCCTTCAAGCCATACAACTTTTATCTGAAACATTTTTTTGATTTTTCATTATTTTCCGAAATATTTGAGTGGATCACTTAAAATGGCCCACCCTGTATGTATATATATATTATTAAATATATATATATATATATATATATATATAATAAATATATTAAATATAGTAAATATTATATATATATATATATATATATATATATATATATATATATATATATATATATATATATATATACATTATACAAATATATTATAATTATTTAAATATTATTCTTTGTCGTATAATATGTTTATAATATGTATGTGTATACACATATATATATATATATATATGCATATATACATATATATATATATATATATATATATATATATATATAATAACTTCAAAGACTCAAATTGCAAAGGACTTCATAAATTTAATAAAAAAAATAGAGAAAAAGGGAATTATAAAAATAGTTTTAGCAGATCAATATCCTGGCATAAACTCAACACAATTTAAACAATATCTAAATAAACAAAAAATAACATTGATATTCACAGCAGTGGATTGTGCATTCTCCAATGGACTAAATGAAAGAACAAATCAAACATTGGCAAATAGAATACGATGTAAAATATATGAGAACAAAAATAAACCATGGCCTCAAGCAGCAGAAGAATGTGTAAAAATGTATAACAACACAATTCACAGCTCCACAGGATTTACACCTAACTATTTGCTAACAGGAGTAAATAATTCATTTGTACCGGAAGAACTAAACGACAATAACATACAAAATCTGATAAGCAATAGAAAAATAGCATTTAGAAAATCGAAAGAAATACACAACAAAAATAAAGAATATTACGATAAGAGGGTAAAACAGATAGATTATAAAGTAGGAGATTTAGTATATGTACAAAACGCAAATAAATTGAACAAAAGCAAAATGGATCAAATTAGAATAGGTCCATTTAAAATAAAAAAAAAAATTTCTGAGGTAATATTTTTGTTAGACACAACATTTAAGAAAAATGCGTCAAACATATTTCATGCCAGCAAACTGGTTCCTCACGCCGGGGGTGCGTACCCTCGATCTTCGTAAGGGGGATGTAAGCTTGTATGTACACAAGCATGGCGCTATTGCTAGTCGACTTGTGCCTGAGAGGCAGTACATAACAAGACTCCGAGCTAATAGCATCGAGATTAGAGTACTCATGAACACAAAGGCGTGCTATCGACAATTGTATTGATTCAGGTTAGTTTTAAGTTCGGCGTTCATTGTTAATCATTTCTAGCATGGGCTAACTTGTACATATTGTATGTAATTACAGTTAATTTTCTGCATCATACGTATCGCTTGATCTTCAACCCTAGCACAACTGCTTACATATATACATTATAAATATATTATACAAATATGAATATGTACTAATTATATTACCAAAATATATTATAAAACTATTTAGTATAGTATTTAACTTGTTTCTCTATAAATATACATTTAAAATAATAAAATAAAGAAATTTAATGAGTGTGGCGATTTTCTACACCACCCACGGGGTATCACCAATGGCGCGTTAGATTTTTTTATGTGGATCTTCGCCTATTATACCACATTGCATTATTTTATCATTTACAAGTATGATGTCTGTTACACAGACAAGATGTTTTTAATATTTTTACTTTCCACAAATATGATGTCTGTTACACAGACAAGATGATTTTAATACTTTTACTTTCCACAAATATGATGTTACATAGACAAGATGATTTTAATACTTTTACTTTCCACAAATATGATGTCTGTTACACAGACAAGATGATTTTAATACTTTTACTTTCCACAAATATGATGTTACACAGACAAGATGATTTTAATACTTTTACATTCCACAAATATGATGTCTGTTACACAGACAAGATGATTTTAATACTTTTACTTTCCACAAATATGATGTTACACAGACAAGATGATTTTAATACTTTTACTTTCCACAAATATGATGTCTGTTACACAGACAAGATGATTTTAATACTTTTACTTTCCACAAATATGATGTTACACAGACAAGATGATTTTAATACTTTTACTTTCCACAAATATGATGTCTGTTACACAGACAAGATGATTTTAATACTTTTACTTTCCACAAATATGATGTTACACAGACAAGATGATTTTAATACTTTTACATTCCACAAATATGATGTCTGTTATACAGACAAGAATATTCTTAATACTCCTACTTTTTACAAATATGATATTTGTAACAGACGAGATGTTTTTCACGTATTTATCTTTTACAAGCGTAATGTTTGTAATAAATTTATTATTTATGAGATGAGGGGCCAGCTATGTCAATGGTATCTGCAGCATGTAATTTTAAAATACTTTTATTTTTTTTAGCAACGGTAGCATATAACTTATCCGCTGACATAAGAGACAAATGCTTTTCATCAATTTTCATTTTGATAGCTGTCTCGCCTCTCGTTTTTAATGCAGATTTAAATACACAAATAGCATTAACAGTAGCTGACGAAAAACTATTACGTTTTTTTGTTTTTAAATTATTTAAAAGAGAAAACATTCTCTCCGAATCGGCATTTGAATTTGGAAGAGATCGAATAGTACTTATAATATTTGTTAAATTGGGATATTTAGCAAGATTGTTGTGTCGATTTTGTAAAATTTTTTTCCACATGCTGTCGAAATTTAATTTAGAAAAGTTTTGTTTTTCTTCTATTGTAAAATCTGATGGTAAGGCCATCCATTCCTTCTTTAAATCAGTTTCATCAAAACCGCCGATAGTTTTAGCTATAAAAGAAACATCATTGAATGATGTTTCTCTATTGTTATCAAATAAACTTATATATGGTTGAAAAACTTGTAACTTTGATAAAAATATATTATTTAGAGGTAATCTTTTACGAATTTCTTCTGCAGCAGTCACATAAAATAATAAACAATTCTCTCGAACAATTGTAACTATGTTTATGTGACCTTTCAGCGTTAATTCGTTTAGATATTCCTCACATTCTGATCCCAAAATAATTTCATTAATAGGTTTTTGATTTTCTTTTAATGAAAATATAATATTTGAAGAAAATGGTTTTAAATATTCTTCTTTTATAAAATTTCGACAGATTTGGAAAAGAAAGTTTAAAGATTTTGGATATAATAAATGAATCCTTATTTCTAATGCTTGAAAAAATGCATTAAATGCATTAAAAAAATTCAACACATATTTTAAAAATAGAAAATAAGCTTTTATCTCTACGTTGTCCATCATAGACAAGAGATATTCTCCAGAATTTGTTTTTTCGCTCACAACCATTTCAATAAGAAAGTATTTAATTGTATCCCAAGATTCAAGAAGTCTTTCGATACATAAATAATGCGAAAGCCAGCGCGTATCACATAATTTCAATATTTTGCGATTTGTTTCTTGGAAACATTCACAAAATTCACGAAAAATAGCCGTACGTTTTGGACTGCTATTGAGATAAGTAGCAATTTTTTTTAGAAATTCTTCGCAATATGCGGGCATTTTAGAACATGCAGCGTGCGCTGCTAATGCGGAGGAATGACATGGGCATGAAAACGTTAATAAATGTGGACATATTTCTTCTAATTTTTTTTTAAACGATAAATGTTTTCCTGTCATAACAGATGCATTGTCACATGATAAAGCTACGATATTTAAAAATGGAATCTGTAATTTCCACATTTCACATTTAAATGCCTTAAACAACTTTTCTGCACTTGAATCTTTGGCATCAATATCAATTAATTTAACTAATTGTGAGCGAATATCTAATGTCTCTGGATCAACGTATCGGACAAGAAAAGTCATCCATTTATCATTAGTTATATCAGATGTTTCGTCAATAAAAATTGAAAATTTTGTATTCTGAATTTTATTGACGACACGATCTGTTTCAACTGGGCATAAAACATTTGTAATAATGCTTTTACATTTTGTTCGGCCCATACTCATGCTTTTTAACACATTAGGGTCTTTTCCAATATGTTGAAAAAAGTTGAGAATTTCTTTTGCAGTTTGATGCGAAATATTTTTATCAGCAATTAATGCAGCATATCGAATTTCTGCTATTTTTTTTCGCTCTTCAAACGACAAAAGTGAATCATCTATTATGTTTATATTTTCGTTTGTATTCTTTGTTTCTGTTTTAATTTTACATATTTCTATATGCGCTTTGGATTCTGCGTGACGATAAATTTTCGATAAATCACATCTCATTGATTTATCACAAAATGAACAAAAAAATAAATTTTCATCATGTGATACTTTGCGTAACCATGGCTTAAATAATTCTATTTCTAGCCATTGTTCTTGAAATTTATATTTTTCGGATATTTTTTTATCTGAATTTTTATTATTATTTTCACACACATTATTAGTATTTAAAGCTAAATTATTTTCTTTAATATTATTTTTATGACACGCAGAATCCGCATGTCTTAAAATATGTGTATTGCACGAAAAATTTTTATTGCATATACTACAATAATAAAGACTATCGTCGGATGGTACTTTGCGTATCCAAGATTTATATCGATCATCATTGAGCCAAGCATCTGAAAAGCTTCGCTTAAATTTTTTTTTCAATTCATCACTCATTTTTGTGAATCAAAAAATAGACAGAAACAAAGAATTAAAGAAGAAAAATGGTATATATATATATAGAAATTTGAAATAATCAGAACTCACACACAAATCGGGATTGTGACAGTTCTTGAACACCAAGATTTCAGAGCACGTATAAAAAAATATGTTTACTTGATAGTACAAGGCGACAAGATTATCTGATGAAAATAAATGCCGCGAAATAAATGAACGGCGTAAAACAAATTAAACGGCATGAAACAAATAAACAAATGCCGAGTGTGTCTCATTGTCTGTTCATCCAAGCACGGCGACAGATCGAACATGTCTCGTAAGTAAATCATTATTTATACAAAGATATTAAGAAATAATTTAATCTTTAATTTCTATTTTAATTTTTTTCTTCATAATTTTATAGAAGATATTAATGAAGAGATGGGCGCTTTGGTGCTGCAAGATGCTGCGCAGCCAACGATGCAGCAGCTGATGCAACAAATGTTGCATCAGCAACATTTGTTGCATCAGCTGCAAATATTTATGCAGCCAGCAGCAGCAGCAGCAGCAGCAGCAGCAGCAGCAGCAGCACCAGCAGCAGCATCAGCAGCAGCCGCCGTCGCCGCCGCCACCGCCGCCGCCGCAGGAACAGAAGGAGCAACAGCAGGAGCAAAATGGTACATGATTTTTTATATTAAATTATATATATATATATATTATAATTTGTTTTATTTTTCAGAAAATAAAATTAAAAAAAGAGGAAGCGGCAAGGCTCGTGCCCGCTGGTATACCCAGCGCGGCAGGGGCATGTCTGGCGGTCGAGGAGGCGACCGAGGTCAAGGAGGCTGGGCCCGAAGAGGCGCCGGGGTCCGAGGAGATGGCTGGGCCCGAGGAAGCCGAGGAGGCGGCTGGGCCCGAGGAGGCCGAGGAGGCGGTTGGGCCCGAGGAGGCGGTTGGGCCCGAGGAGGCCGAGGAGGCGGTTGGGCTCGAGGAGGCCGAGGAGGCGGAACCGTTATTAAAAATTATTATTATTATTGATATATACAAACATAAAAAATAATTAATAAAAAATAATTAATAATTTATAGAATATTTATTTATTCAATATTTTATTCCTTTTATCCCTTATTCCTAGATATTTTTTTCCCCATCCTCTATATATAAATACAATGTGGTATAATAGGGCTCTAGGCGAAGATCCACATAAAAAAATCTAACGCGCCATTGGTGATACCCCGTGGGTGGTGTGGAAAATCGCCACACTCATTAAATTTCTTTATTTTATTATTTTAAATGTATATTTATAGAGAAACAAGTTAAATACTATACTAAATAGTTTTATAATATATTTTGGTAATATAATTAGTACATATTCATATTTGTATAATATATTTATAATGTATATATATATATATATATTTAATATACATACAGGGTGGGCCATTTTAAGTGATCCACTCAAATATTTCGGAAAATAATGAAAAATCAAAAAAATGTTTCAGATAAAAGTTGTATGGCTTGAAGGGGGCCATCAGATAGTGGCAATGATTTGACCTTGGAGAGTCATTTGAAGATGACGTAAAGGTAACCTTCAATTTCTTAAATGGAACTCCCTATTTTTTATTACATATTCGTGTAGCTTATCTCGAGAGCTTTTCATAACACTATAATAAAGTATTTCTTCATTGAGTACTTTTCGAGTTATGAGGCTTGAAATCATTTCTTAATTTTGTATAAACCGTAAAATATCTAGTAAAATATTCATTTTTCGATTATCTTGCTTTAATACTTTTATGTACAAAATAATGAGAGAAATCAATTGGTGTAAAAAAAACACATAGTTGTTTCAAAGAAAAAATATGTAATTGTTAATTGCAAATTACATATTTTTTCTTAAAAATAACTATGTGTTTTCTTTACACCAATTGATTCCTCTCATTATTTTGTACATAAAAGTATTAAAGCAAGATAATCGAAAAATGAATATTTTACTAGATATTTTACGGTTTATACAAAATTAAGAAATGATTTCAAGCCTCATAACTCGAAAAGTACTCAATGAAGAAATACTTTATTATAGTGTTTTGGAAAGCTCTCGAGATAAGCTACACGAATATGTAATAAAAAATAGGGAGTTCCATTTAAGAAATTGAAGGTTACCTTTACATTATCTTCAAATGACTCTCCAAGGTCAAATCATTGCCACTATCTGATAGCCCCCTTCAAGCCATACAACTTTTATCTGAAACATTTTTTTGATTTTTCATTATTTTCCGAAATATTTGAGTGGATCACTTAAAATGGCCCACCCTGTATATATATATAATATATATTATATATATATATATATATATATATATATATATAATAAATATATTAAATATAGTAAATATTATATATATATATATATATATATATATATATATATACATTATACAAATATATTATAATTATTTAAATATTATTCTTTGTCGTATAATATGTTTATAATATGTATGTGTATACACATATATATATATATATATATATATATATATATATATATACAGAGACATATTCTAAACACATTATACAATAAAAATGCTGTAAAAGAAACATTGAGCGCATATCGAGATATCGTAGAGCGTGACGCGTCGTGCCCGTCTTTCGGTAGGAAGGAGACAGAAGACTGTATTTTGTCCTCTTCTTCTATCCGAAGCTAGCCGAAGCGCCGAGCTCACACGTACGCTTACGCTTACATCCTCATTACCCCCTCCACGCCATGTTGCATGTTGCTTGCGGCGGAGATCTGGCAGCTTTGTGCCTAAGTTAAAATGGATCACCCTATATATATATACAGGGTGGGGCAAAAGTTCCGGAACGGTCAATTATCTCAGGAAATATTGGTTTATTAAAAAAATGTTTCGAACAAAAGTTGTATGGTTCAAAAAAATCTATCTACTGATCTTATTAGTTTGACCTTGGGTGGCGTTGCCAAGGTCAGGTCAAGGTCACGTCAATTTTTTTAAATTAAACATACCATTTTTGATTCAAGAATCTAATAGCTGATGTCAAGAGCTTTTCAAAACCCTATAATAAAGTATTTTTTCGTTAAGCACATCACAAGTTATGAAGCTTGAAAGTTATAGTACCGCCGGCATTAGCATTACCCAAGATATACCACGCGGAGGTTGCACGGTCGGATTTATATCTTTTTTGTTTTGTGATATGTGCGTGTGTGCGTGTGTGTGCGTGTGTATGCGTGTACGTGTGTGTGCGTGTGTGTGCGTGTGCGTGCGTGCGTGCGTGCATACGCGCGCGCGCGTGCTCTCTTATGTGTTTCTAAATAAATGTTCATTAATTTATTAAGTGTTCAAATTGATGTCCTCCTGCTTCTTGGCAGTATCCTAAGCGAAAATAAAATGTATCTGTGACGTTTCTTAAAGTTTCCGGTGTTATTAAATTTGAAATGTTTAATATTCTTTCCCTTAAATCGTTCACGTTGGTAGGTTTCGTTTCATAGACTCTACTTTTCAAATATCCCCAGTAGAAAAAGTCTAACGGGTTTAGATCGGGAGATCTCGGTGGCCATTCTATCGTGCCTCTTCTACCAATCCATGGACCAATAAAAGTTTCGTTTAGAAAATTGCGTACACGCAATGCGAAATGAGCTGGAGCCCCATCATGTTGATACCAAACATTTTCAAAAGCATCTCCAACAATATTTTGAATACCCGGTATTATTCGGTTTCTCAACAAATCTAAATAACTTTCCGCTGTTATATTACCGTCAATAAAAAATGGACCTATGATACGATTACACAATATTCCGGCCCAAACATTTACTTTCTCAGGATACTGCGTGTGGCAATCTCTCATCCAGTGAGGATTTTCATCAGCCCAATATCTCATATTGTGCCGATTAACTGATCCATTTAGCTCAAAAGTAGCTTCATCGGAAAAGCAGATCCAAGTAAAGAATTGGTTATTACCATCAAATCGTGCCATCATCGTATCACTAAATTCAAGTCTTCTGTCAAAATCCTCTTCGAATAGCTCCTGCACAAAGTGAATTTTGTATGGATGGTAATGGTATTTCTTTAAAATTCTACGAGTTGATCTTTTGCTAATTTCAGTTTGTTGAGCTATTTTTGAAACTGATGTATGAGAATTTTCAGTTGTAGCTAGTAAAACCTCCATACTCTTATCATCGTTGGTGGCATCTTTGGGTCTTCCAGATTTTGATTCATCTTTTATTGAACCAGTTCTTTCGAAACGATCAACAGTTCGAAAAACAGTTGATTTCGAAATTGGAGGACGATGATCAAATGTGTCATTAAATAAATTTACCACTTCTTGATAAGATCTAATTCTATCACCGAATCCTCGCATCATAAGAATAGTAATTCTTTCTTTCTCGGTCAAATGCATTGTGTTCGCGATAAAACAATTACTAAAAGAATCAATAAGAAATTTCAGCACTGAGACAGAGCCTGTCAGAATTCAGTTTAATATTCGTTTGTAAATACTTAAAGTGTTCACTTCAGATTGCGAACACAATGCATTTGACCGAGAAAGAAAGAATTACTATTCTTATGATGCGAGGATTCGGTGATAGAATTAGATCTTATCAAGAAGTGGTAAATTTATTTAATGACACATTTGATCATCGTCCTCCAATTTCGAAATCAACTGTTTTTCGAACTGTTGATCGTTTCGAAAGAACTGGTTCAATAAAAGATGAATCAAAATCTGGAAGACCCATGCCACCAACGATGATAAGAGTATGGAGGTTTTACTAGCTACAACTGAAAATTCTCATACATCAGTTTCAAAAATAGCTCAACAAACTGAAATTAGCAAAAGATCAACTCGTAGAATTTTAAAGAAATACCATTACCATCCATACAAAATTCACTTTGTGCAGGAGCTATTCGAAGAGGATTTTGACAGAAGACTTGAATTTAGTGATACGATGATGGCACGATTTGATGGTAATAACCAATTCTTTACTTGGATCTGCTTTTCCGATGAAGCTACTTTTGAGCTAAATGGATCAGTTAATCGGCACAATATGAGATATTGGGCTGATGAAAATCCTCACTGGATGAGAGATTGCCACACGCAGTATCCTGAGAAAGTAAATGTTTGGGCCGGAATATTGTGTAATCGTATCATAGGTCCATTTTTTATTGACGGTAATATAACAGCGGAAAGTTATTTAGATTTGTTGAGAAACCGAATAATACCGGGTATTCAAAATATTGTTGGAGATGCTTTTGAAAATGATTGGTATCAACATGATGGGGCTCCAGCTCATTTCGCATTGCGTGTACGCAATTTTCTAAACGAAACTTTTATTGGTCGATGGATTGGTAGAAGAGGCACGATAGAATGGCCACCGAGATCTCCCGATCTAAACCCGTTAGACTTTTTCTACTGGGGATATTTGAAAAGTAGGGTCTATGAAACGAAACCTACCAACGTGAACGATTTAAGGGAAAGAATATTAAACATTTCAAATTTAATAACACCGGAAACTTTAAGAAACGTCACAGATACATTTTATTTTCGCTTAGGATACTGCCAAGAAGCAGGAGGACATCAATTTGAACACTTAATAAATTAATGAACATTTATTTAGAAACACATAAGAGAGCACGCGCGCGCGCGTATGCACGCACGCACGCACGCACGCACGCACGCACACGCACACACACGTACACGCATACACACGCACACACACGCACACACACGCACACACGCACATATCACAAAACAAAAAAGATATAAATCCGACCGTGCAACCTCCGCGTGGTATATCTTGGGTAATGCTAATGCCGGCGGTACTATAACTTTCAAGCTTCATAACTTGTGATGTGCTTAACGAAAAAATACTTTATTATAGGGTTTTGAAAAGCTCTTGACATCAGCTATTAGATTCTTGAATCAAAAATGGTATGTTTAATTTAAAAAAATTGACGTGACCTTGACCTGACCTTGGCAACGCCACCCAAGGTCAAACTAATAAGATCAGTAGATAGATTTTTTGAACCATACAACTTTTGTTCGAAACATTTTTTTAATAAACCAATATTTCCTGAGATAATTGACCGTTCAGGAACTTTTGCCCCACCCTGTATATGTATATATATACATATATATTTAATATACTTAAGGTATATTAGTTTTACTGTATAATAAAGTTTTTTATTACATGTGTTTGTGTGTGTATAGA